TATAACGATAATTATTTCGTTGTTGTATAAAATATATAATAACGGCTATTAAACACCCATCCTTAAATATTAATGACGTATTATTATATAAATTGTTCAAATAGAAAAATAGAATTCTAAGTAATTTTTTTTATCATAACTTAATTGAAATATAAATGATTAATAATTAGTTTATTCTTATATTTTAGATTTATATATTTTCATTATTCTATTAATTTTCTAAATTTTAAGTCGAATAGTTACCTAGTGTTTAAGAAATGGGTGGCGTAGTTGAATTACTTTACAAATCATTTTATTATTTTTTGTATAATTAATATTTATACAATTGACAAATCATTTTATCGCCTGCTTTACATTTCTAAATTTTTTTTACATTGCTTTAAAGTTATTTGCGCCATTTACATTTATTACTTTTTCGATTAAATTATTTTTTTAATCATATTATATGATCAATCTTTTCTATTTCTTGCAATTACTTTAACTTTGAATTGAAATCTTAATACATTATTTATGATAAGAATTATAAAATACAAAAAATACTTAAGTTTTATTTTATATCTTTAAATCAAAATGATGAAATATTGATAATCATATATAGTAATAAACTCAGTATTAAAATTAATTATATTTCTTTAAATTTATGAAATCTTAAAAAAAAATCACAATCTTTGATAAAAACAGTATTACATTGTTAGTTTTTTTTTTTGTCAAAAATATTTAATTTCTATTTCCACGGAAGGAAGACACCTTTCCATAGTGTCACCTGAAGAAGGATAAGAAGCTGGCACAAATTTACGATATATAGACCACTTTCACTCTTGAATACATTGATTAATTGTGCGAGAGTGTAACCAGAACCTATTGCAGAACAAAAATAAAACCAATAAAAGTTTTTTTTTTCTTTAATTTTTAAAATGGGTCACTCTCAACCCGCAAACCATTTTAATTATTTGAGATTTTACCAACCAGACAACCAAATCATAAACAAAACGAAGTGAAAATTTTAACTCCATGCGACCAATATGTGCCATTTCATTTTGGTCGATCAAAGATGGTAAGGTTATCCGAGTTTGCTACCCTTGTGATTTTGTATATACATAGAATACGAAGGTAATTATTCTTTTTTTTTATTAATTACATTAAATAGAAACATTTTTTTATTAAATATTATCACAATGTATAATCAATATACATAATTACTTGATGTAATAAATATTATTTGATAATAATTTTGATAAGAGTGTTATAAGATTTATTTATATATATATTATTTACATGTTTATTTATACATTCTTTACCTTATTATTATCTTGATTATTTTATTTTTATTTTGAAGTATAGAGTGTCTTCATTGGTAAATTTTTATTTCTTTTCAGCATTCAATAGAATTTGTTAAAACTTATTCATTATTGTATTTTTCAATAAGAACATTTGCACTCACCATGGAATTTGGTGAAATGTAACCCATATCATATTTTCAAGGGATTAGTGAAGCTAGTTCAATATAAAAAAAATATGGATGTAAAAGTTATTATCAACCATTTGAAATCTCACACCAAAGAGATTCAACAAAGAAACGAGGTATACATCCTCAAAGTAAGAGCATAGAAGAGTTTAAATATTAAACCAAAGTTAGATTATCTTTATATATATATATATATATATATATATATATATATATATATATATATATATATATATGTATTATAATCATACATTAGTGTGATATCAATATTTGAGTTGTAAAGCTTGAAATAAAATTGTTCAGTATGAGAAATTTAAAATATTACAAAAAATTTAATTATTTACTAGTTGCTTGTCAACAATTGATTTTTCTATACTAAACAAATATTCCCGAGTTGATTAAGAAGCCTAGTTGACAACTTTCTTAACCCTTTTCACAATCATTTTGGCCTCTATTTTGGCAAGTTCAACCGACATCTCTGTTTTCTAAACCATCTCATTTAAAGTAGCGTTTTGAGCATGAGCTTTAGTAACTTGAAGCACAAACTCTTGGTTCTTCTTAGCCTTAGTAGAAAGGGCCTCTCGTGACCGGCTACTACTGTTAGCAATTGGTATTTTTGTTTTTTCAAAGATAACAAGTCCTTAATTCTTTTACCTATAATACAATGAATGTCTAAAATCATATTTTTCAATAAATGAATCATTGTTATACATAAGGTGATGAGCAATTTAATAGAATCTTGGCAATCCATGTGATCTACCATCTTGATCTTGAACATCTCAATGTCATGCAAATAAGGGAAGAGAATCCACTCTTGGTATATTAACCAACACATGATCCATGCAACTTAAAGGACCTTCCACTTATCAGAGCAAATAAGATATAGGTGGTGGAGGAGCTTCATGGGGTATCCAAGGTCAAGGTGCAGTCAAGGAGCAAGAACATAAGTACAAACAAAAGATGGGGTTCACCCACTATTTTAGAACCCACTATCTCAAGTGAAGACTTGAGGGGAGTTAGGTCATCAATTTTTAGGAGCTTGATCTTCCTCCTCAATAGGTTGAGAACCATTAACAACAATAAGCATAGCTCGGGTTTTCTTATAATCAAATTTTGGTCTCATAATTTATACACAAGAAAGAATAATTGGTTAGTTAACTCAAAGTAAACTAGTATCATTAATATTCAAAAGAAATAGACAAAAGATCTTTACAATTAATAGGACGAGTAAGACTTGATAAAAAATTTACATCAGCTTTGTCCTCAAAAGTTAGCAATTACTTTATTCGAAATTTGAACTTATGAGGAATCTACCAATACAGAGGAAAATAAGGTGTTTGTTAGGGTTTAGAAAAAGCCCTTGAGATGGATAATTCTAAGAACATTTTATTTTGAAGAAGCGAATCTTAAAATGTTTGAAAGAAGAAAAATAAGCTATAAGTAAAATCACTATGCTTAGATCCATCAAGGGACACCCAACCAACCTCTTGACCATGTTTAAGTTGATAGAAATACATAAATTTATTTACCAAATGTAAAATATCACACAAAATTTGAAAACCTTTTAGAAAGATTTAACTATTAGGGTGAAGTTAACTAGGAGTAACACATAAAATTTATAGCATATCGCATTTAAAATCAGTAAAGGGAACTAAAATATACAATTCTTTAAATTAGCATTCATACACAAAGGTAAAACTGACATTCAAAGCAATTTTCATATAAACATGACCGGTGGGAGAATAAGTTTCAACAATTACAAGCTCAACATTTGAATAAATAAATAAAAAAAAATACCATAACCCTTGTAAATATCTTCCATGGAGGATGTGGTAATAAGATTATAAGAATAATGATATACTTTTTTTAGTATCCAGCTATATTCAAGATTTGATATCGAAGGAAATTTAATCCTTTGACTACCCCTAATACAACTTAAACCAATTTTAACCACCATTTTTTGGACTTTTGGCCCACAATATTTAAAGGGGACCATCGCGATAATAGCAACCACCTCCACGGGAGGAGGAGGAGAAACTCTCTTCTCCGTTGAGGAAGAGTTCGATAAACTATCTTTTCTGTGTGACTCATGATAAATAGGATAAACTTCATGTTCACTCATTAATAATTCAACATAGGTGTAACCATTGTAGTCATTGGAGGAATCAAAATCAAAAGAAGACATTATATCAAAAGGATAGAAAGAATAAACATACATAAGACGAAGGAAGACTTGAAGAAAAAAATCTTAAAAAAAAAAACAAATGTAATAGGAAAACAAATACAAATGATATACTAAATACAAAATATTCAAATTCGATATATTTACCTAAACCTTAAGTATAATTTTTAAGAGAAACCTTGCAACAACGTATTAATACATTTATAAAATTCTTTGTTAATATACATTAAAACAATCATAATACATAAAGGTAACAAAAAAGATTAACATTATATTTTGTAATTAATACAAATACGAATAACATAATAAGTTCAATAATATCTTTACACCTCATGACTAATACATATAAAAGTAACAAAGATTAACATTATGTTTTGTAATTAATACAAATATGAATAACATAACAAGTTCAATAATATCTTTACAACTCATAACTAATATATCTCCTTCAATACTTGATCTTTGAACTTGGAAGATTTTTATACTTACTCGGATTTTTCCATTAATTATATTAAACAAAAATGTTCTCTAATTTAAAAAACTTTTAATGAATAATATAACAATAATACATAATTAATATATTGAATTATTTAGTTACACGTAATATTACATTATTAAAACAATAATTAACATTAAAATAGATATAAATAATTACTATAAATAAAATTATCTTATTTTCGTTCGTACTTAAATATTAAAATATTTTTTAACATGTAATTTTTTTTTCTTTTCAACATCCAACAAAGTTCCATCTAACATATCTCGAGATAACGATTATCTAAACTAATTTATTTGATCACTTATTAAATATATTGACCAACCTTAAAACTTATTTATTTATTAATGTATTTTTTCGCCAAGAACATGAATCACATAGTCGGAACGTGGTACTGTTTTTGCAAACACAGAAGAAAAAAAAAAAAAACATAAGCAGTATGTTAAGTTCTAATGCTACAATCTGGTGCCACAAAGCCAAAACAAATACCTCACTGTGAAACCCAACATTGTTCTGTAACTAGTTCATCGATCATCACGAGGTCAATTTGTGGGGTGGGGAGTTATGTAAGAGGGAAGAAAAATGTGGTCCGCAGAATAAAAGAAATAGCTACTTCATACTACTGGCTCGTGTTACAACAACGACATAAAATTTCCCATGCCATTACATCGATCTATTATTCCTATCACTCAAAGAACGGATAAAGAAAAAAAGAGACGACACAATAATTAAAAAACGGGGGAAGGAAGAAACAAACAAAAGGGAAAAGTGGGCGATTATGTTATTCTCGGGGAGGGAAGAAAAATAAAAAAAATAAAAAAAGAAGGCGGAAGATGCATGCATGCAGGGGCAAATGGCTATGTCGCAAAAGCAAGCGACACGCGAGGTGCGTTGCGGTGAGCCCTCGCAAGTGGTGGCTTATTTACACTCCCAATCCTACTACTGTTCCCTCCACTGGCGATAGCGTTCACATGTGATGCTGATGGTGACGTGGCACCTCTTTGTCCCTCTGATCCACATTTCACCGGCTGCGGCCCCACGCTAACCGCCTTCTCACACCGACAGCTCACCAACAAACCGTTTCCCCCTTTCCGCTTCCACTTCTCCTCCACGCCCGGAAACGCCTCATCGTGTCCCTCCGCCGTCGTCACGCTCCACTCGATGCTAGCCTCGCTCGGTTCGTAACACTCCGTTATAGTCGGCGTCGTGGAGCCCTCGTCCACGCTTCTTCGCCCGAAGAAGAACCCCGTCGTTGAGGTCGATCCCGAGGCCTCGTCGAACGAGTCTCTGCTGTTGCGACGGTACGCTGACTGCGTCGCGGTGGAGAAGCTTTCGATCTCGAAGAGATCGGAGCTCGCGTCGCTCGCGGCGTCGTCTTCGACCACGCGCGCCTTCACCGGGAATGTGAAGTTTAGTGGCTTTGGCGATGGCGATGGCTCGTCCGGAGGCCGGAACACCTCCAACGAGTCGCGTGGCGGATCTTCCTCTGCGACGCCGTTTGCGAGTTTTAGTTTCGTGATTGGATTGTTAGGGTTTAGCACGGGGAAAGTGAATCCGTCGGTGAACGGTACTCTCACAGAGCTCAAAACTCTGTGAGAGTTGGAATTATTAAACCGTTGTGATTTCGGCGCGGCAATTGTTGCTGTTGCTAATACTGGTACCGGCATCGGTGCCGGTGCTTGATTCAGAATCCAGTTATTTGGTGTGACGTGATTCCGAACGTTTTGATGTTCGTAATCTCTTTCTTGTTGTGATATCTGAGATTTGTATTCTTGAGTTGATTCTTTGACTTGAACTGATTTTTTACCCCTGCAAGGACATTTTCTCCTTAGTAGCCAAATTGATTTGGAGTGTTTGGGGTTTTGAAGGTTTTTAGGGTTTTGCATTGAGACTGGGATTGCTCCTGGAGGGTGTGATAGCAACCCGGTTTGGCTGTTCCAGCTGGCTTCTGAGGAAGCCGTTGGAGTTGCCGCGTGGAACGAACGCGCTCTGTAGTTTCTGATGTGGGCGTAGCCGTCCACAGAGGATGAAGCAGAGGAGTATCTGGTGGCTTCGGTGACGATGAGGTCACCCCTCTCTGGAATTCGTTCCATAGGAGAGACTCTGCTGATGCTAACCTTTTGAATGTTATTGTTGTTGCTGCTGCTATCATCGTTGAAGTATTTGTGAGCATCGAATATGCTAAGCTCAGTGGCGGTGTCCTCAACAGGTCCTGTAGTGATTGTTGCCTTGTTATCGGGTGCGAGATAGGATGAGAAAGGTGCATCTGTATCTCTCACCGTCTGCATCACTGTTGCTCTTTCCATTTATTAAAATATATATATTTTGTGATTGATAAAACTAAGCTGTTGCATTTCGAATTCCTTGGTCTGATATATATGTGTTCAGGTCTCTGTTCCCACTTGTCTTGGCACTGACTAATTATAAGGCTGTAAAAACTAGAAACATTGTATGCCCTTCTCTGTTTTTCTTTTCTCTTGCCTCTGTAATGAAACAAATTCCCCCAACCTATGATCTGACTGTCTCGCTTTCTCAATGTATTATGAATAAACAACAAAAGTCTGAATATTAAAAGCGGAATGTCCTGACTAGATTATGATATCCGTAGAGATAGAGTGATGGAATGGGCAATTATGTGTGATACTTCATCATTTGGATGCATCATGGCCATCTGTTAGTAGCTATCTCTGTCTACAGAGTTAATCATTGAGGAAAGTTCTACGGCTTTTAATTTGTAGGTTTAACTGTAGTTTGGATTAACACAGAGCCTAGTAAAATAAAATAAAAAAAAAAGGATACAACAAGTAAGAATTTATATTTTTCAACATAATTTTAAAAGTGATGTTATATTATTCATAGTTTCATGCAACACAATTTTAACACGACTTTCCACCAAGTTATTGTTCATTTTCTCCATTATATCCAGTTTTTTGTGACATTCTTCTTTCCCTTTTTTCCCTCTGCCCTTCTTTTGTATAAAATTTTCTCTGAAGTTGAAGTATAGTTAACATTTCTCCGATTTTAACTGGATGATGTTTCTCCTGTCTGTAAGGTTTTTTATCAGGTACCGTGTGCTGATGTATCAGATATATGAATCTTCTTGGGTTCCTACATGTACTACATATCAGAGTTATTTATAGCTGCAACAAACTGGATGCTATACACCTCAAATTCAATTGGTAGGTAGAGCTAGTATACGTATATACATACAGTATGCTATTATCAAAATATAAATAATATTGCTTTAGGACCTTACGTTGATAAATGATAAGGTCTTCGAATTAATTATTGGCCTCTTTTATTGCTGTAACACATCTTGGAATGACACAAGAAAGTTGGGCGCATGCTGCATGCCTCTTTGAGAGCCTCATACACTCCAGAGTCCAGGACAATTAAGTTTACTATTTTAGAGACATAAAATTGCTTGAATCACATTTTTCCTTGATGGATTGATTCCTAACTCGAGATCTGTGACTGTTCTTTCTCCCATCCTTTTCTTTACTTTCTAAGTAAGTTTCCTCTTGATGTGGCTGCCTGATAAGTTTGGTAGTACTGATTCAATAAAGTAGGCAAAGAAGCACGTCCTATCTGACACCAAACATCAGCCAGGTAACAACGTGAATGAGTGAGGGTCCATTGCATTTGACATTTAGGTATGTCTGAACACTTGGGAGACCATAGAGAACTGTCTTTATGGGTTTACCGAATCAATTAGCAGAGGTGGATTGATTTTGGAAGCTGTGCATGGTGGGTCACCGTTAACCTTCTAGTAACATGGACTGCTTTATTGCCTGCCTTTACACAATTTATGCATGGCTCTTGAGCAGGTGGTGGTCCTCATTTTGCCTTAGGAACAAGATTTTGGTCACATTCGTTCCATGAGATAATATAATTTAATCCGACAATTCCTTACCTCGTTATCAACATCATTTACTTTACACAAAATTTAGCTTGGTTGATAATGGTGAGTAATACGACTAGATGTTACTGTTCCTTTATTGAAAAGGGATGCTGCCTTTTACACTTGATGCTAGATAGAGCACTACCAATTTCTTGTTATTTTAGTGTTTTTTCTTCTATTTTGCTTTCTTCTTTCTAGTCGGTAATCCTGTTAGGAGAGGGAAGAAGATTTTCTCTTAGGGCCACCATAGTGTGTACATTGCTCGTGGAACATAGAAGCACGAGGAGACTCTATATTTCAAAATCAGTTTTGTTGAAACTTCAATGCCTAATTTTTTAGACCTATGTACAGTAGGTGGATAGTGTGCAGAAAGTTACAATTCTTAAATATTATTTTATCGTAATGATCTTTGGGGATTTCTCTTTTGTTCCATCCCTAACAGCCTTTTTATAACGGAGAATGATTAGAATAAAAAAGGAAGAATGAGAAAGAAATAAAATAAGATGTGAGGAGCCTATGAACTCTTTTTTGGTTGGCTAGTATAAATAATTATTCATATAGTCTGTACACATACGTAAGAATTTCCTGTTGAAGTTACAGTCAACTGCTTCTATCTGCCATAAGTATGAGGTTCCATTAATTCATATTCATCAACTCCCAACAAGAAACTGACCTTCATAATTCCTTTCAAATGTAGATTTTCCTGTCTCACATGATAATTATGTTTTCCCCATTAACTACTATTCTGTCTATGCTGGTGGTTGTGGTAACCTAATTTAAATTAGTAGATGATTTTGAATAAATATCTGTTTTACTAGAGAAACAATTAATGTTAAGGTAAATAAAACTAAAGATCAACAATTAGCATACATATATCTGTAAATGTTCTCTGAAGAACATAACTAGTAGTGAGCTTTCTATTTTGTGGAGAATAATATCAAGTTGTATGAACTACAGATCGGACATGCGTATTGATTATGATGGAGCCACACGTGTGAAATAGAGTTTCTTATTATGAAGATAATAAGATGAGAACTAAGATTTCATATGTAGCCACAGACATTTGTATACTCTCAACCCGACCAGAAAAAACTCACCTCAACTCCTCTAGTTGTTGAAAGTGGTCAGTTATCCTTTGACAAATGCAAAAATGCTATTCATGTAACTCAGACTCTTTCCAAAAATTTGATGAAAGCTTAAACCTACCAACTATATAATTTTATTTTAAATGACGAACTATAATAAAAATTGACAGAGATAGTATACTATAAAATTTAGTGTCAAGAATTCTTTTTATAACATGAAAATAATAAATTATTCTATGTTTGATTCTCACATAAATAAATTAAGAAGAAATTATGTTTTGGTTTGTCCCATATAAAAAAAATAGTTTTCTTCTAATTTGACAGAAAAAGACATAAGTGCCTTGAATGGTAGAATATATATTTTTTAATTTATATTTTTAATTTTATTTTAAGTAGTAATTTGTTTTAGTTTATTATTATTCTTTAAATGCATCTGGTGTTTGAACTACATTTCTTTTGTATCATCAAGAATATGTTAATTTTCTATCCATTTTTCCGCATTATATTTTTGTTGAAGGAATTTTTCATTCTTCTAAAAATCGAAGAAGAAAATTGGTGAATAAGTCAAAGTATCTAATTAGAAAAAAAATCACAATCAAACTAGATAAAAATTAATCAAATAACTAGAAAATTCGTCAAAATCGATATTGGTTGAAAAAAAAATAGTTCACAGTGATTCAATAAGAAAAGGCTTAATGTTTTATTTTGATTTTTTCTTAATAAATAAATAAATAATTAACCTAAGTAGTTGTATTTTTTTTAATAAATAAATATGGTGTATTGTTTGAATTTATTATGGTATATTTGATTGAACCTTTGTCTACAGAGAAAGTGAAAATCTTAGTTTATAAATATATATATATATATATATATATATATATATATATATATATATATATATATGTATATATGTAGAGAGAGAGAGAGAGAGAGAGAGAGATAGATAGATAGAGAGAGAGAGTTAAGTTTCCTTCTTAAAAACTAAAAAAATAATCTCAGATTTTATTTTATTTTCCTTCGTCCCACCTTTCCTTATATTTCCTTTTCTTCTACTTTTATTTCATTTTTTTTTTCATATACTTTTATTTGTCATCGAAACATAGTGTAATGTAAGGACATGGGAAAAGAGTGTATCAAATATTTTATTTGTTTAAATAGGATTTTAATCTCTTAAATTTGGATTTTTTTAATTATTTAAATTCAAATTTTTTAAGTTTATGCATTTATGAAAATGGTCTTTTTATCCGTCACACTAATGATGATATACTCATGTTGATATAACATCAATATTATCAATAACAGTATAATTAAAATTATGATATAAAATTTTATTTAATTTGTTAATATATTTTTAATCTCTTGAATTTAGGTCAAGTTTTACTTAAAGATATTAAATTTAAAAATAATTATTTTAGTCCTTTAAACTTAAATTTTTTGGTGAAGTGTTCAAATAAAAAAAAATCTAATTTAAAATTAGATATGAAACTTTTGTTTCATTTAACTCCTTTAAAAACAAAATTAAAGGATGAAAAATAAAAATAAAATATAACATGTGTTAATCTTTTTAACTTGTATAAATAGGTTTAAGTGACCAATAATATGTTTCCTAACAATTTTATAAATATATTTTAAAATTTCAAAATTAAATTATTAAACAATATTTTAAGAATTTTTTTTATGATTTTAAATGCTAGTGAAACATAACAGCACATCATAATCAAACATTCCAATCACAATCATAATACTTTAATGTACAGAAATGAATAAAAAATTCAATCATGGTAATTTACAAAGAACTAAAGAAGCTAAAATATAAGAAAAGATTGCATGGTAGTAATTATTCATACCACTGTTTAAATACATTTCAAATTTGAAGAAAATTCAAAAAAAAAAAAAAAAAGAAATTTCAAATAATTTTAAACTAGTCTTTCTCAACACAAGATAATTATGCCAACAAATTTTCAACAGTGTCAACATTCAAAATTGAAATGAATTTATTTTCTAGTAAGAAGTTTTTTTTTTTTTTTGATTTGGAGACTACTTTTTTCTTTTTATGTCCGGAGAACTACGAGTATTATTGTTAAATTTGAGGGAATTAAAATGTCCATTTTATATTGAAATTAAAGAAAAACTAAAATAAATTTTGATGTAAATTTTAGGGAATAAAAATTATTTTATAAACCCATTAGTGATGAGAAAAACAAATATTTTTGAAACTTCAAAAAAGTTAATTTAAAGAATTAAAAAATCCAAAATTAATTTAATTATTATTTGTCTTTAGCAGGAAATGGTGTGCCTTACAAATATATAATGGATATTACTAAATACTTTTTTCTTCATAAATTGAGAATCATTTTTATTAAACTCGATCTCAATCAGTTAAACCATTTATTTAATATATATATATATATATATATATATTATATATTTAATATATATTATAGCATTACTCATTTTATAAAACTTCTTATTAGAATTGTCTACTATGATGATCCGATAAGAGTGGTAATTAATGTATTTTTTTTTTAATGAAACACTCCAACGATTCCCACATTTATACCTTCATTTATTATTTTCATTCTCTTGATTTTATATACCCAATAGGACTCACATTATGCCTTTATTTATTATTATTATTATTATTATTATTATTATTTATCTATTTTTGGTTAGAGTATCTTTTAAGAGTTATTTATTAAAATAGTATAAAATACATTATTTTAACGTAGATTTTATATTTTGAATTTCTTTAAATATGTCATAATTGTTTAAAACACATATAATAGGAGTATATAATCAGAGTTGTTTAGAATATCTGTAATGAAAATTATTCGTTAAAATGTTTACGTAAGATATTAATTATTTAAAATATTTTTTAATTGAAAAAATAAAAATAATACATAAATTTACTTAGAATTTTTTTAATATGTTTAATAAAATAACTTAAAAAAATAATAAAAAGAAATAACTAAGAAGAAAAAATAAATTTTTAAAATATTTAAAAAATTAAAAATTAATTTAATATAATGTAACACAAATTTATATTTATATTTCTATTTTAAGATTATAAATAATTCATATGAGTTAGTTTTCTAATAATTTCTCTTATATAAATTATTTTAATTTATTTAAAACAATTCTGATTATAATATTTATATTAAAATAATATACTTTATTTTCTTTAAAAGATTCGTTAATATGTTCTTAATTATATAACAAAGGTGTTGAATGGTTGATTAAACTTTATTCTGTTAATGATATTTCTTTTTCTTGTATTTTTTTCATTCAAATTTACGATTATCTCATACTACACTATAAAATGGGCATTGCAAGTTTACTTCTTTTTAGTATTTTCATTTTAAATAAACTAAAATAGATTTTTTAATTCTTATAAAATTTATGAATTTGTTTTTGTCTTTATAAATTTTTTCCTTTATTTTTCGCTCTTATAATTTGTTGAATAATTTTTTAGTTCTTTTAAAAAGTTGAAAATTTTGTTTTAATTCCCATACATTTTTTTCTTTTGATTTTTATTATTAATCATTTTTTATAATATTCATTTTAAGATTAATAAAAAAAATTGTTTTACGGAGGGTAAGAGTTTTCTTCGTACCCTAATATATACCTATACTAATATTCATGATATAAATAATGAATTAATATTACATTCGAGATTAAGTTTGATAACTTTCAATTTTAAAATATTAATAAAGAATTTATTTTATAAACATCAAAGTCAAAGTCACTAATTTTTCCATAAATTAAAAACGTATTTAAACATTTCAAATAAATAATATTTTTATGAAGTACATTTTAGTCATGATTTTTTTATTTTTTGTCTTGCACAGACTTCATAGCATTAATAAGCAGAGTTTTACTATAAATGACCAGGTTTTAAAAATAGATGAGAAATGAAATATTTATTATTTAACATCTACAATTTAAATCTATTTTACTAAAAATAAACAATTTCTCCTCTCTTAGAATCAAATATAAATTAAATTTTGTTAAAATAAATGAGAATATCATTGTTGAGAACAAAAAAACAAAAACAAAAAATATTATCCAAAAGTACGAAACAAAAAATCTAGGAAACTAGAGAGTATAGAACACCACACATAATCAAATGCATAAATCTTCAAAAGAGTGCAAGAATTCTTGGTTGCCACGACATCATCTTCCACCACCACCACACAAAAAAGTGAAAGAAACACATGGCTAAGCCAGAGAAACCTTTCTTTGCCATTCATCATCCATGGCTCTTCTTCCTTCTTCTTCTTCTTCTTCTTCTTCTCTCAGAACTCTTCTCCATATCTCATCTCAACGTTATCTTCCATATTCCCTTCACAACTCCATCACTCTTGCGTCATCTTTCAATCCACTCACTCATTCAAAGCAGCACCTGAACCACAGAAGCTGCAGCTCAAAGCTCATGGCTTTTTCTTACAGGTATTTCATTGAAGAAGAAGAAGAAGATGATGATAATGATGGTGAGGATGATGAAACGAAAGGCTTTGATGAAGCAGTGGCTCTCTTCAATGGAGGAGAGTACTACAAATGCCATGACTATCTTGAAGCCCTTTGGAACAATGCAGAAGAACCCACCAGCACACTCATTCATGGAATACTGCAATGTGCAGTGGGTTTCTACCACCTCTTCAACCAGGTTTTCATACATTTAGACATAACTTAATCATTTTATATATTATTTTTGCACATTCACAATATTTTTAAAAGTATATTATGAGCAATTCAGAAAGCCTAAAAAAGTTTTAGATTATTTTGCACTTAACACGAGTCGATATTATGAACTGAGTATTGTGAAACTTAATATGCTTCAAAGTTATTATTGATCGAGAGAAGCATATAAATGGCTTTGAAAAAACCATTCACCAAGCTCGAGTCTTTATTCCCATTATTGATTGTGATGTGGAAAACAAAGAATTTGTATCCGGAGAAGGTTGAGAAAGAAGAAGTAGAATAATAGTTTTATTTTCAAGTTGTTAATCCAACTTGCTTGTTTAGACATTCACTTTTATAATTTTTCTCTCAATTCTTTGCAATCAACCTCGTGTTGCATGCATGACATGGTAAGTCCTCCATTATTTGCCTCTTTGACTCCTGAATAAACAAATAATTCTCCATGTCAATATTATATGGCTTCTGCTACCATACGTGGTCTAGGGAAAAGTTTTACCGACCCCTTCGATGGGGTTGTACTGATAAAAATTCGACAAACACTTTGATATATTTCAAATATTGAAATAGTATTATTAGTGTAAGTATATTTCAAATCTAAACCTAGTACTCCTTATATAGATCAAATGTTCATTTTTAGGATTTTATTGTCCTCGAGAACGTAATAACTAATCATAATAAACAAAATATTATTTTCTTAAATCAATTTGTCAGAATATGACTCATGGTACCATATATGGTTTGGTAGAAAAGTTTTAGGGGATATGTAACGATAAGAATTCGACCAACACTTTCATTGTTACGAAAATATTGACCTCTACGTGAAAATATTTCAACAACCAAATCAATAATGAAGTAATAGAACTAGTACAAGCATATTTAAAATCAAACCTCGTACTCTTTATATAGATCAAATGGTCATTTTAAAAAAAAAAATTGTCTCTGAGAACATAATAACTAATCATAATAAATAAAATATTCTTTTTTTTAATCTGTTTATCCATTATATTATTATATACCAGAATATCAGAATTAATGTGCTACAACAACTTGTAAGTGAGGATTTTCATTGTATGTTAACTGATTATTAAGTTTTATAATAATTAAGATCTTGACCAGACGTGATGACCGACCTCTCTAACACATAAGGGTTTTGACTACTCGATCTTTTATTTATTATATGGTTTTGCTTGATCATGAGTTATGTTGTCTTAAAGAATGTTTTTGGACCGAATAGAACCATAGAGGAGCCATGATGGAGTTGGGGGAAGGACTATGTAAACTGCGAAAGATGGAATTCTCAAATGGGCCGTTTCAAAAGTTTGAGAAAGATATTTCAGCTGTTCTAGATTTTATCTACCAGACTCAGATAGAGTTAGCTGCATGTGAGTGCTACTAACCTTGGAAATCCATGCAGTAATTAGTATTTGTTTGGACAAATTTGTCCATAAGGACTTCTGGGAGAAAAAGGTAAGAATAGAAAAGGAAATAAGTTTCCAAATTAAATTAGTATTTGTATGCATAAGATAGAAAATAAAATTTTACAGAAGTTAGATGAAAGAACTTCTACAGTTAGCTTATGCACAAGTAAGTTTTAAGTTATAGAGAAATTCAACTAATATTTTTCATCTTAATTCCGCTTACTAGAAGTCCTTATAGAAAAACTAGTCCAAACAGACTTGGTTTGGTTTTGAAGAAATTACAGGTTGTGTTTTCCTTGAATTTGAGCAGGTAGTGAGGATATTTGTGTTGCAATGGATCGATCTGAAAGATCCTACCAACTTCTAGGGGAATATGCTTCAGGGCAGCGTGTGTATGATCTAGAGCTTTGTAGTGATGCATCAGTGTACATTGTGTTCTGTCCTCAAGGGTCTAATGGTTTCAGCGAAGCCCCAAAGGTAAAGCTTCCCATGCTTAAGGCTACCTCGGAACATCTTGTAGCATATAAGTGAACATCTTTTCAAGACCAATGCTATAGATCAAACAACATGCAAAACTTTTCTTTCCTTCTTTTTTTTTATATTGTACCTAACTTTTGTTCAAAGGGAAGGGTTGACTAATTTACTTCGAGCATTAATCAAGGAAACAAAGGTGACAGTTTTTTTATAAAAAAAAGTACTTATGATGTCAATAATGTAAGTCATTTAACACATGCTTGTTCGAAGTTATTCAAAGCATTTACTAAAATGTATTTAATAATTAATCACTTAAACAGTTTAGTTTACAGTACTTGTTAACAAAACCCTTACCTTAAAATTAACCTCTAAACTAAAAAATTCATAAAATCTCCAGATTAATATTTAATTTGAAAGCTTGAGAATCATAATTCAGAGCATGTCTGATTGACCATGAATACTGACTATATAATAAAGAGCATTTAGATATAGGAGCAAACTTCAAAAGTAAAAGCATAATTTCATTGAATTGAAGATTGATAGGGAACTCAAAGTGTGTTTGTAAAATGTCTTCATAACATGCCTCAAGTAAAATTGAACTGGTTCTAAGAATTTCTAGCAGAAATTCTAAGGAATAAAGAACACCAAGGTTGAAAAGGAATGTAAATCGGAAGCATCAACCTTAAACAAAATTGTTTGCTGATAAAATAAACAGAAACTCTTCCTTTTCCATTATGGTCATAAGGCCAATGATTGTAACAATTAATCAGCAGTCAGTAGCCACCGTTCACGAATTCAGTTTTATGCTCATATTTCTAAGTCAACTTGGTGGAGATTGCAAGACTGCAATGAACTTCTAGGTTAGATTTATGAAATAATCCCACTCCACTTCCTAAACAAAGTCATATTTGAAGAGATAGATAGATGATAGAAATCCAAATACAAGGTGCGTACAAACAGAAAGCAAATGGGCACACATACAAGCTTGATCACATACACGGGAGAGTGAGAGAGAGAGAGACCTGATAATCCTTGTTTCTTCCTCAGTACACAAACAAGATTTTGCATTTACTCTACAGGGCATGGGAGGTCCAAAAGTGGAAATATATAAACTGCATTAAAATCTAAAGCAGATATTAAGGTAGACAAATTTCTTCTGCCAGCAAACTCAATATAGCTCAAAGGAATCTCATGTACACATATGGCCTTATATTTTACCTTTTAGATTTTTTTTTAAATTAAATATTAACGTATAATAAGTATATTTATGTTTTTTCGATTTAAACGGTACTTAACTCGTGTGCTTAGATTGTTTCCTTAGTTCCATGACCTGAATCTTACAAATTCAACTGAAAAGGCTGGAAATATATATTCTGGTCTAAGCGACCTTGGATAATCAATATAGTAAATTTAAAGTTAATGAGCTAAGTCGTGAAGTTATCTTTGTTATCCTACATATATAACTTTCACCACCTATAACCCATTTCCTCTTTAACAAGAAAAATTTGGTAGGGATAAATAAAAAAAAAGGATACAAAGAAATCAAGAAGGACACACCCTGCAGCATCTACAAGCCATGGCAAATTTGGTTTGATTTTTGCCCAATCCAAGCTGATCAAAAGAATACTGCATCAAAGGACAAACTAAATGTTAATTAAATATATTGTGATAATTTTAAGCTTTCACTCTCTTCACTCGGCAAAAGTCACTTTGGTGCTGAGACTTAAAATTGAGATGATAATATAAACTGGCAGGATACCTGGCTACATAAGTGGTATTCCCAAGTACAGCAAAAATGAACATGAAAGGATTGAGTCCCTGCAAATAGTAAGAAGCAACTATAAAATCCGTCTGGCACTGCTTCATGCAACTAGAAACAGATTTCTTTTATTGCATTGATTTGGTGAAGGGAGGAGACTTATCTTCCATATTCCCGTCACAAAGTTTTCAATTGCTAAATGATGATAAACAAGACAAAATGAATAAAGGATCACAGCTTTAATAGTCAGTTCCTAACCTCAACATGACCCCTTCTGATCTGCAAAATTGATGAGTTATGCATCAATATAAACAATCAGCTTAACAAGACGAATCAATCCTTCTTAAAGTGTATGTCAAATAGAAATTAGATAATTTTGAAATTTCCAAATACATTACAGAGAAGTTTCTCATGGAAAATAACAAACCAATAATTTATCTCATCCCTGTCTATTATATTCATATGTGGAATATAATGTATAAATCAATTATTCTCTATAACATTCTCTTCCAAGTTTACCATCCATAAGCAGCCTGTACAAGTGATAGGATGAATGACTACTGTCCCTTAGCATTTAAACAATAAAAATCTTATCTAATGTAACACAATTTTTATCTCGAGTTCCCTAAGCTAAGGAATATACTTATATAACTCACATTTAGACAAATTTGAGGCAGTCTTCCACCCATATATACAAATGTCATTGCCCAACCAAGGAAGGTCCCAACGCTACTGCTTCCAGAAGCATCAGTTTTTAGCATCTGATCATCGCCAACCTGCAATTGCTCTAAGAATTTATGACAAATTGGAAAAATTAAATTCATTTTTTTGTTTTTCCTTTTAACATGCATAAAAATTTGAAACCAATTATACCTTAAAAACTACTTAAACTAAATCTTTATCCAAAGAAATATTGTAACTCTCCCTCATCCATGAGCAACTATATATCAGCAATCACCAAACATTGGCTACCAATAACCAAACGGTTTCAAATCACGAATAAAAAAAATATATATTTGTTGTTCAGGTTATACATACTCTTCTAGGATATAGGCAAACTATATGGCAGAGTTAGCAGGATATCAGAACAGAGTGATTAATCTTTAATATAGTAAACAAAGTTGTGATTTGCATTACCTGAAAAAGCTTTCGTCCAATATGAATCACAAATTGTTGTCGTGGGTTTAAGACCATTGGATTAATTATTTCATTCAATGGTTGAAGTAGATTGATAGCACCAAGAAAAGTTAATGTTGAAACCTGGACAAAGACTGGATGCATTTAGATTTCAATTACGGCACTCTTGTAGTTATGTACAAGAATAGTTGTGGAATTAGAATGTTTACTACACAAAAAGTACTCTTCATGCTTGAAGCTGGCGCAGATTGTGTTGCAATGGCTGAAACAAGAAAGTTCTCATGTATAGAATCTAAAGCCGGAGTAGATTCCATTTTCTGTGCTAAGATGGATCCCGCTGTTGGAGTGTGACTCTTAGACAAATATCTTGCTGACCTATGAATTCGAAATGAAAAAGAGTACACTACATTACAGATTATAAATTTCTTTGAAAAGCCAACTAGAACTTTGTGACCAAAATTGTGCTTATTCTCTTTACATTAACACGAAAGAAATGATGCATACAGAGCAAGCCAAAGGGGAAAAAAGACAAATATCAGTGAATCTTCGGCATTTTGTTTAGAGAATTTTCAAAAGAAAAGATAATAAAGCATTCAATCAAAAGAAATTTGAAGCTCATATTGGATGGAACCAGATATTTGAATTTTAAACTGAGAAATCTTAGATAACATGTCTTGCGCTTTTCAGTCACATACAGCCCAAGATTAGGGGAATCAAATATGTTTCTTTAAATAGAACTCATCAGGAGATTGAAATTGACAAAGAAACTAGAGCATAAGTGTGCATTTTGAATAGATTTTTATGAGGAAGACTAATTACTGGTAGAATAATCCATTCTCAGTAGCAATTCTTCGAGGATATGCTGGAAGAGGAATAGGAGAACTAAGACTGGTGGTTCTATTTGCATTTTCAAATTCGGTACACTGTTCAGCATCACTGGCGTTTTCCACTTGTCCAGTTTTTGCGAATGTCTCAACCTGTTCATGTTTAGAATGCTAGAATAGAATACAAGATCAAAACGATTAGTATCCAAACTTGCTAGAGCTTCTCAAAATTTTGTCTAGAGTTTACCAAACTTGTCTAGTGTTTCTACAAACTATTAGAAAAAAGATAAACATGATTTGTATCTTTTCCCTATCACCTCATATGTGCACATGTCCCAAGAGATAAGAAAAAAATTCTGCAAATGCAAAATTGTAGTCAAATATATTCGATCATCTTTCTTATACAAAATTCAATTTTAACATGGTGTACTAAGAAAATGATAACACTTTATTTTGTGATCTACATGGTACGGATTATCTGCAGATACAAATAGCTAGTTAAATCTTTCTCCTTGGGGATAAGACACAGTCAAATAATTATAATCTTTTCACAGCTGATTTGGAGTGGCTTATAAGAAAACCAAAAGTTCCCATTGACAATCAGCTCATATACAGTAAAAGGGCTGACAAGGCACATTTAATGAAGTTACTCCCAACAGCTTATTATTCCTCAATAAGTTTGACTCCCACAGATCCATACACATGCTGCCCTGTTCATTTAACTTGAGCTTTCATTTTGATTCCCATTTGAACAGAAATCTGTGGTATACACCATACACACTGAAGCAAATTTTTCAGGCATCTACCATTTGAAATTTTGCTTTATTTCATGTGAAAAAAAAAATATTAACCTGTTTTAGTCCTACACATAGCATTGTCAATCTCTTTTACATGAAATATTAAGTTGCTTCTCTCTGCATACATTCACCTTCCTCAATCATCAGAATCTCGTTGAATGAGGAGGGAAATATAAGGTTTCCGATTTGAAAAGGCAATGATAATTGGCAGAAATAAAGTATTAGGGATTTGCACCTTGAGCTGTCTCTTGTATTTTTGTTGAGGATATAAATGACCATAGTAAATGGTTTGTAAACCCAGAGCAAGAGTTATAATGGTATAAAGCTGCATTTTAATACATCAGGAAAATGTCACATCAGCTGGATGAGGCCAGAAGGTTAGATGAAAGAATGATTTCGTAGTTACTAAAACCCCTCAATCTTTGGCTAGAGTCCCTACCAGTGCCATGTATAATTGAGTAGGAAGCTGCATACATGAGAAATAAAAGGAATTACTTAGCATACCCTTACTGATTTAGGCATCAATAATGGGCATATGATCCATAACAAGTTCAACAAAAAAGTTATTCAGAAAATAGAAAAACGAATGCTCGATGTTTCTCCCAATTTACACTAAGAGCATTACATACTGTTAGCTAAAAGGAGAACATGCGGGGTTAGGAAACCCATTTATACCATTGGATTAAATTTAAAATGTCATACATTAAAAGGTAGAATTACTCATTTAGTCCCTGTACTATAATTACAAAAGCTTCCCCCATTTTAATTTCTATGCTTAAAAACAACCTGTTTTAGTCCTACAAATAGCATTGTCAATCTCTTTTAGATCCTACGCATATCATTTTTTTTCATTTTAAGACTGAAAAGATTAAAAATGATGTGTCAATATAAAAAGGGGTTATTTTTAAGTATAAGGACTAAAGTTTTTTTTTTTTTTTTTGTAAACATTGGAACAGAACGAATAATTAAACTTATAATAAAATTTTATTAAATCTGAATTTGTTGAAAGTATCATCTTGTAGAACATAGAAACTTTCCCAACTAAATCCTTCTGAGTGAACAAAATGAAAATAGTTCTCTTTTGCGAACTAATTATTTGAGAACAAAATGATTTAGTTGGCCAATGCCTTATCCAACACTTGCATTATTCTTTGGTTGTTGTTCAACAATATTGTGATTTTTATATATTATATTTTTTTTATGTAAAAATGTCATGGATTGAAACTGGAGAAAGTAATGACAAACTTTAAAGATGGCTCCAAAAAGATAGGCAACATAAATCTTTAAGACACAAGAAAATAGAGACACTCACAGTTGCAGGTTCCAGCAGGCATCCCAGGAGGTTGAATAGATCTCTGTAGTAGAAAATGTATTGTGTAAAAATAGTAGACATATTTTTGACAATAATTTCTATATCATATACATGCCAAGTAGCCAAGATATGTATCCCAGCTTCCCAGGCTATTTAGACTCATTTTCCTACTAACTACTGCTAAAAATCTGTTACTAATCACCCCTCGAAATAAATAGAAATTTACATTGAGGTTGTGTCGATCAACATATTTGACGATGTTTTCTTCCCTTCCCCACAAAACACTGATTCTTCCAAAAGGATGCACTCAAACTAATCTGGAACCTGCAACGTCGTTTTCCTAGTCTTTACTTCTTACGTCTTAGGTTCAGTTACGCATATCCTTAAAATTTAAACTTGAAAGAGTTCAAAGGACGAGCTTATACGAAAAAGTGTATAAAATCTCGTCCTGAATTTTCACTTCAATTTTAAGGGGATACCAAAAGGATTCTTAGAACATAATCTTCCCTCCAGCCCATATCCCTAAAATGAATTCAAACATTGAGTGAACAAGCTAGATGCACAAATCACACTTAAAAACTAGTAATGAGATCTCTGATTACAGGCTCAACGCAAGGTTGAATAAGTTGTAATGACTACCAAAATATGCCAGACATTCAAATAGACCAGTAGAACAAACAAATAAACAAGAACATGAACACGTTGAATTAGATAACAAAAATGCAAGTAGTCCTTAGTAAATTTTTGAAAAGCCAAGGTACCCAATTATCCATGTGATCAAGAAACTGATGGAGAGACTCTCAGTGGATTTTGTTCGATAGTTTGTGATTATTTGAGGTATCTCAGCAACAACCCAAACAGTAACACTCATTAAACCCAGCACGAAAGATGCTGATTCCCTCACACTGCTCAGATACTCTTTGGCCAATTGCAAGCAATGCTGATTGCTATGACACCACAGAGAGAGGGTAGAGTTCTCAAACACTCCCATTGCATCAAAGAAACAACTGATACCTACAATCCTTAAATGAAGTAACAAAGAGTCAGTAACAGATTTTTCTCCCCTCAACAACAATAATCTGATGCTAACACTACAAATTGACAAGAGATTCAGAATGTTGCCATAGTTTGTTAACAATAGAGCGTTAGCAACACTCTCTTAAATACAACACTACTTGTTAAATATTGTTAAAACCTTTTACATATGTTATAATCCTACCTATATCCTTAATGATATTAAGATTAATTAGATTGAATTTATATTTATATTATTAGTATATAAAGTAGGGTAACCCAATATTATGTAATTGCATTTTCTCTTATAAATTGAATAACTCCAGTATTGTTTAAACAGAGGGAATTTATAGTATGTTTTCTTGATTTCTCTCTTGCTTTTCAACAATGATCAGGACTACCATTTTATGATTTTCAGTAAATTTCAGCCACAATAAAAGTTTCTTGCTAGTATTTCTCTTGTTAATATAATAAGATAAGATATTATACCATGGCAGTAACAACGAAAAAGAAGAAACATACTAAGAAAGGAATATCGCGGTGTGTTTATTAAGTTGAAATATTTCAACGTACGTGTTTTCACTAGATGAGTTGATTTGGAGTTAGGTGTGTTACAATTATGAACCTTTATAGGCCGAATAAGGTGTAAAAATTGAATATTCAGAATGCAACAATAACACGAGCTCAGGGTACAATAAATTCTGGTTAATAAAACCATCCAATGCAGGTTCAAAAAAGGGAAATGAAGAAAGAGGCAATCATGTTAATTTTGACATGGGATAGAGAAAGAGAGAGATTGATTGAATAAAACAGTGAAGAAGACATGCAAAAGAAAATGAATACCCAGAAACGGAAGGACCGAGATTTGGAGCTTCTTCTCCAATTCACAACAACTTTACATGCATTCACAACAGAAACCTTCGCCACTCTAATATAACCACATTGCAATCTCTTTCTAGAATACTTATCAATATTTTTAACTTTTATAATTTAATAATAATATATTTAGGAAATTTTCAACAATAATATTAAACATTTTTTAACTTTTCAATTTTGTTAATCTATCATTTTCACTACAATTTAAATTATATTACAATATAAAGTATTCATTAAAAGTTTTAAACATAATTATATATTCATAAATATTATTTATTATAAATTTTGATAGAATTATATATTTTGAAGTTTACCAAAATTTTTCACAACCATGTTGTCATCAAACTTATTCTTATTCTGATAAAACATCATTTTTGGCTAAAGATAATGGAATTGATTTTTTTTTTTATTCTTTCGTAAGTTTATAGTTGGATGATGGTAAAAAGGTATTCTTATTTTTTTATTTATTTGATTATTATAAACTTGAGTGATGAAATTCTAATAAAAGTTTTAAATTATAAATATATATATATATATATATATATATATATATATATATATATATATATATATATATGGGGGTAATAAAATTTATACTTAAGTGAGGTTAGTTTTAAATCTTAAGATGTATTTCCAATTTAGAAAAACGTTTTTATTGTTATTTAAATTTTATTTTATATAAATTAGATATTTAGGTTAATTTTTTTAACAAAATATGACAATATATATAAAATAAAAATAAATAGAACTTTTGCATATGATTTAAAAATAAAGCACAAAAAAAAATAAAGACATTAAATTATATAAAAAAAAACATATTTGTAATAGTTGTAAATAGATATTTTACCCAATTATAAAAAGCTACAAATGAATACTTCTCTAATAGTATTAACATTTAATAAAATTATTTTCATATGCCACACATTAATTTTTGAAGATACACTTTAAATATATCTCAGATATAACATATGTATCATGCACATTAATTCCTCCAATCTATTTATTATTTATCGTGTGTTAAATTTGAAGGAACTAAAATAAGATAAACCAAACTAGCATTCACTAAAAAAATGTTCCATTAAAACGACCAGTTAAACCTAATTTATGCAAGAATGTTACTACAAAAACATTTTCTCCAAGAAATCAGGGACAATATTTCACACACACACATGTGATGTTAAAAAAAAAAAAAAAATCTAAAAAATGTGCCAAAACACAAGTGGCCATGTTGAATTTACTATTTGGAAATGCGGTTCCTTCGTGTCCTTGCCGTTCACATCCATTTACAAAAGAAGGAGGAAGATTCACGGGCATGGAGTAGCCCTCTCACACACACATACCCCATAGTCGTTCAAGATGGGACGAACCAAGCTTCTGCTTGCAGATTTCGTTCTGTCTTTCATGTGGGTATGCTCCGGTGTCCTCCTTCGCATCATCGTCATCCAGCATCTTGGCTTCGGTCACTCCCCTCTCGCTGAGGCTATCAAAATCGCCTTCTCCATCGCCAATATGTTCTTCTTCGCCTTCCTCGTCAAGATTACACGTGGCGGCGCCTACAACCCCCTCACCGTTTTGGCTGATGCTATCTCTGGGGATTTTAACAACTTCCTCTACTGCGCTGGTGCTAGAATCCCCACACAGGTTCTGCTTTTGTTCTGTTATGAATAAATAAAAGCCCTTTCATTTGAGTTCTTTTTTCTTCTTTTTTTCTTTCTTTTTTTCTTTTTTATTTTGCTCCTACCCCGGCTTTTAAATTAAATGCATTGGACGATGGGTTGAAGAAAATTGGTGGAAGCGGAATTTTTTATTTGTGGGTCTGGCATAATTTTTTGTTGCGTCCAATTAGCATTGGGATGTATGTGAAAGTTGACTTTTTATGGCCCCTTTTGACTAAGATTGACTGGGGTTGAATTTCATGAAATTGCCCGTTAATTTTGCGCATCTTTGTTCTTGTTGGCTTGGTTGGAAATTTCAGAAGTTTAGTTGGATTGGATGGTGATAAATTTTTCAGCATTGTTAGTTGGTGAATTATCTGAAAGGAATTTTTCTGATGCTCAGTCAATTGATTTTTATTTTATTTTATTTGCTATTTCTGACTGGGTTTTTGGGATTTGAATGAACATGTTTCCAATTATTGAACTTAATAATCTCTTGTTGGGTGGAACATTTTCGAACTTTGAATATCTTCATATTCATCATGTAGAAGATGGCTTAACTACTTTTATGGGAAGTCAACTCTTTGATATTTGGATGATAAAAATTTGAAGCAAAATGATTCCTTTCGAATTTACTCTACAGTAACACAATTTTCTTGTTATGTTGATTAGTGACAAACTGACCTTGATTCATTGCAATACTATATATTTTCATAGCTTATAGTTATTCATTGCGTTATTATTGATGCATTCATGTTTGAAGTAGGTAAAATTCAAATTCTAGATTCATGTTTATACCTAAACTTCAACTTTGTAGATTGTAAAATAACCTTGTGGGAGTACCTTCCGATCCATGGATCCTTAATGTCATTAAATCAATCAAGTATGCTTATAGAAAGCCTTTGGCTTATCTGTCTTTGTAGATTCGTACTCTCATGATCATACAGAGACTCACATGCCCATTTGCGAACATCGAAGAAAAAGATTAATGAGGAGGATTGAGTGTTCTCTTACCCATTACAGCTATCCAATTCTTGTTGGCTATGCTAGAAAGCAACTTCATTAATCACTTTCCTGCAGTTTCTTGTTTTCTAATATACATCTCAGCCATAGCCGTGAATTTCTCAAAACTCAACATGAATTGAACATTATCATTCAAACATGCATGTTTTTGAATCTCTCCAGGTGGTTGGATCAATTGTTGGCGTTAAGTTTCTTATTGATACCATTCCTGAAGTGGGACGGGGACCACGTTTGAATGTCGACATTCATCAGGGTGCATTGACAGAAGGAGTACTAACATTTGCTATTGTAACCATTTCACTTGGACTTACCACAAAAATTCGTGAAAATTTCTTCATGAAGACTTGGATTTCCAGCCTCTCCAAGTTAGCTCTTCATATTCTTGGTTCTGACTTGACTGGTGGTTGTATGAACCCTGCATCTGTAAGTACTGCCGATCCAAACTTTTGTGTCATTACTTTACACTGATCAGAAAACTTTGGTCATGTGAACCATAGAAGAAACCTCTGTTGTTTTCTTGCTAAGAAACCTTGGTTCGACTTGTTCAGGTAATGGGATGGGCTTATGCTCGAGGGGATCACATAACAAAGGAGCACTTCTTTGTATATTGGCTTGCTCCCATAGAGGCAACCATTTTAGCAGTGTGGACATTCAACTTGCTAGTGCAGCCTGCAAAAGAAGATAACACAGCCTCAAAAAGTAAATCGGATTGAAGAAACTTCATTTTGTGCCGTATGTCTTATTCCACTTGGTTTCAGTTTGCACAGTTTGTAGGATGAATGTACAAGAACTTGTACAGGTGAATAGGTATAATCATTGATCAGAGTGAATTGTGCTATCAATTTCTGTGTTTTCTGTATGCACTACCAATTGTGTAACTCCATTCATGCACGAGTGCATACTCATGCTTTGTACCTTCTTCCTCTTTTTTATCAACCACAATAAACTCTGTGCTGTGATAAATAGGCACGAAAACTCAAACACAAAAGGGGGTGAATTTTTCATATGCAGAGTAACAATGCAACACCACGGTTGATGAGTTATACGAGGCATATTCGGAGAAATATTATAAAGAAGAAAAAGAAAGAAAAAAGTATTATTTTATAAATAAAAACTAGTTTATACACGAGTTAAAAAATCAGATTTTACAGAAGTTAATAGGAAATAACTTCATAATTTTCAGACAAACTGATATCCAACACTGTGTACGGAGCAGATTGCAGGTATTTCGTACAACTTATTTCAAAATTTACTCGTCACTTCTTCTTAATAACATAATAATAAATATAATTATTTAAAAATTATATATTTTTAACATTTTAAAAATATAATAGTTCTTTCTTAATATTCGAGACAAGGGTTTACTACAATTTTACTAATTTTTATTAAAAATATTTTAATTTCTTTTTTAAAAAATGTGATAAATACTTTTTTCAAATAGAGAGCAGTCTAGATTAAATAATGAAAATTGAAATACCACGTATTTGAATCTTAATCAATTAGGTGTTAAAATTTCAAATGTACGTTTATCATTATTATTTAATATTTATATTTATAATTATATTCAATAAAAATACTAGATATTATAATTAAATTAATAACAATGGAATTAAATATAAATTGTTATATTCGACAATTGATATTGAAGCATGGTCTTTTGAATATTGTATGTTACTAGTTGGTGGTACTTCATCACATTTTGCATTTTATTTAAAAATAAATCGTTCATACTTTAACTATGTAATATTCTTCACACGCTCATCCAATCAACTTAATCCTTCAATCCTAATCATCGGTCACTTATGGGATCTTTTAATTACACTAATAAACAATAATTTTTTTTAATTTAAAAAGTGTTTTAATTAAATTCAGAAACTTAATCAGTATTTTCCTCTATAAGTATATTTTTATTATAGATTTTTCGTAGATTAATCTAACAAATATATTTATAAAACTTTCTTGATTGTAAATTTGAATTTTAAATATTATTTTAAAAATATAAATTGTTTCGCAACGTAAATTACAATAAATGTAAATTACAAGAAGTGAAAATTGTTTGAGAAAGTAAAATATTTGGAAGTGTAAATTGTAGAAAACATAATTTACCAAAGATAAAATAAAATTTGTATAAAAAATTAATAAAATTGGTGATCCAAATTACTAAAAACTTCAATTAAATAATATTTTTTAATATTTACAATATTTTTTATTTATACTTATCCGGTTTATACTTATTATTTTGTGTAATCCCTAAAAATTAAAATAAAAACAAATAATTAAAACAATCTATGTCTCAATCAACTGTTTTTGTCCTTCTTTTGGATTGATATTAATTTATGTGGTGTTGTAACGACTTTGTTAAATGATTAAGTTGTAACGGTTCTCAACTTTGATGTATTTTTTCAATTACTTCTTTCAATTCACTTATAAATTCGCGAGTAACAGCAATTGTAAACTTAATAACTTTTACGATAGGCACTTGAAAATCATACTAAAAATGTTTAATTTATTAACAGTAAATACATCTTTTACTATCAACAATATGCAATTAAATTCTTTATTTAAATGTAAAAAAACTAAACGAGATCAAGAAAATATGATTTATCAACATAATAAAATAATTATTATTTATCGATTCTTCATTTATTAATTCAGATCTTCTAACATTAATCTCACGTTGATGAAAAACTCCTCAATTTTCTTAATGAAAATCTAACGTAAATAATTTCTTGAAATTCTTAATTACATTAGAAATTTCGTTCCTAATGTTATAAAATATAAAAATTTAAAGAATTTTCTTCCTTAAAACTCAATTTACTCGATATTTCTCAACTTATATTTATCATCTCTTCTTTCTTATCATATATATATATATATATATATATATATATATATATATATATATATATATATTTATTTATTTATTGATTCTTACTTGTAATATAATTTTTTTTACTAGTGCAATTATAACACTCCCTTGTATGGTGCTTTCTCCTGTTTCTATTTGCATTTATTAGCGCTTGTGTTGCTGTTTTCCCATTCTTTCTCTCTCACCTTTATCTAAGATTATTTGCTTTAAGTGTTACAAAGTTAGGCACACCAAATTGGCCAAATAAAGAGTTGATGAGTGGGGTTTGAGGGAAATAGTATCAAGGTTTGCTGTTTAGACCATCCAATAGGAACACAAGAGTGAGAAAGAATCATTTCCTGGTAAGTAACTCGTAAGGTCAAGATTCCTAATGAACTTCTATAAATCCAAAAAGGAGATACAAATAGAAGGTTTGGAGAAAAATATGATTAAAACTAAAAACCACCTCATCATGGTAAACGTTTCCTCACTGTCTTATACAACCATAATTTACTTTGGCAGCAATACTAGTAGCACTGAAGATGAACATTTTGATGGAGATCAAAAGGACATAAGGAATTTAATCAATTTTTATACACAACTTCAGTACACAAGTTGTGGTTCAAACTCTGCCAAATCTACAGACCCTGATTCAATTGGTGGCATTAAATATGCAGCCAAGAGTTCAGACACTAAGGCAGCAACCAGTGGAATCCTCTTTAAGTTTTTCACCAACTGTATGTCATCACTCTCACCAATAGCAATAATCTTCTGGTTTATCTCCACCATCCTGTCCAGCTTCCTCTTGAATTCTGGATTTTCAACATCAAGAACAGCTGGGAAAATCCGAGCAGTTGTGCGGTTTGTCTGCATAAACAATCCAGATATGAAGCTTGAGTAACTCCTTACAAGTCATAGTGTTCTTTGTTCTTGTTGATGTTCTTTGTTGATCAACTCCTTACAAGTCATAGTGTTTTCAATGGTAGTTCAAGGTTCCATTACTTTCATTTTATCATGTTAAGTTACTAAACTCATTAAGTAATTGGGACTGAATAGAAACAAATTGTGGTTATTCCAAAGAGCAATGGAGGTAACACAGGAACAATAGTGACTACCGCAAATATGCAGACAGAAGCTAACCTCAATGATGACATGCATGTCAAATTCTTTTGTGTTAAGTCCAATGCCTTCATAGAAGGCTGTACGTTGGCAATCATTGAGATACATAGTGACATAAACCTGCAAGATGAATATGAAAATTAAGTTTTAAAGCACCGCTAAGAAGGTTAATGGCCACAATCTTGTAATAGAAGACATGCAAATGTGATATCTCTAGCTGGCAGAAACAGTTTCATGATGAGGAATGTAATGCGATTTTCAGTTAAGGTTTGTAGGATTCCCCAAACCAACTTTTCCATTGTAATCACTGTTACACTCTTATGCTAATGTTGTTGAGGTTTCATCATAAAAATCTTAAAGGAAGGCATTTGGTAGTGACTACTAAGCAAAGGAGAAAAATTACCGAGAGACAGAAGAAGCGAGCCCACAACTTTGCCTTCCAGTCGTTTAGAAATTGTGGCTGTGCCTTCATCAGAGCAGAGAAGAAATCTCCATGCCTGTTCTCATCCTGGCACCAGTTCTCAAAGTACTTGAAAATGGGATAACATTGGTACTCAGGGTTGGCCTTGAGATGTCTGTATATGGTTATGTATCTCCAGTACCCAATTTTCTCAGACAAGTATGTAGCATAGAAGATAAATTTGGGCTTGAAAAATGTGTATTTTCTAGCTTTAGTCAAGAAACCCAAGTCCAGAGCCAAATTGAAATCAGATAAACCCTTGTTCAAAAATCTGCACAGAATCCAAATGAGGTCATGCACCACTACAAACAAGATATCAAATAGAAAATGAAAGAAGGATAGTTAATAAATAAAGGCCAAAGGTGTGTCCATACCCAGCATGCCTGGCTTCATCCCTAGACATCAGAGAGAAAATCTCAGCCACCACAGGATTGGTTTTCTGTAACATCAACATCCCAAGCAATAAATCAGGTGAAGAATGAAAGACCAAAATGGTATAAAGCACAACATTGCCCGAGATAGCTCATTTTAAAGACATGAACTGTAGCAGAATTACATTAAACGACCACAACATCATAAGAACAGAATCCTAGTAATTAGAATTGCAACAGTTTTGACAAGAACAGAACTTGTCTCAATGACTATCTGTTGTTTTCAAAATCCCCAAAAAACAATTCTCCTAATGCATTGGCAGAAATGTCAATTAATCACAATATTTCATATTACAAACTGTCATGTATACCAAATTTGTTAGCTTTTAGATAACTATTAACTACTTTACAAATTATATTAACTATAATTTCTGATTAGTTGGCGGTTTAATTTTTTTACTCTGACGGTGTATGTAATTACACTCTAGTTTAATTTTTCCTTTGAAAGTTGAATCAGACTCTGAAGAAAAGAAAAGGGAAAGAAGAAAAAAAAATGGTACCTTGAGTCTCCTTCCAAGCTCTTTGTAGAGAAGGAAGCCAGAGAATTCAGCAGTGCAAGACCTCTCAAGGAACTCCACAAAGATCTGTCTGAGGGGGCCTTCAAGTTTGTCAGCAGCTTCCTTGAACTCTTTGTTCCTCACAAAATGGGTCTGGTTGTAGTCAGTCTTGAACTCCTGAAGCAAGGCCTCAAACTCCTCCTGGTTGAGGTTCTTGTTGATCTCAGTGTTGAAAAGGGTCTCCATCTCATCAAAGTCAGTGGTGTAGAACCTTGGGGTCAGAAGGCTCTCCTTGATGACATTCTTGTTGCCCTTTTTGCTTGGCTTTGTGGAGGTGGATGGTGGTGGGGTGGCAGTGGCAGACATTCTTATGGAGCTGAATTTGGAGTATGAACCCAATCTGGGGCTGCCAAATTTGGGAGTCACATTGGAAATTGGTTTCACAAGAGCCATCTCTGCAGCCATTTTTGGCTTGTGGAAGATGATGCAAAGGTTTGGTTTTGAGGCTGAGGACCAAGGGCCAAGAAGCACGAAGGACAAGAAGCGAGGGAGTTATAGCTTGGATGGGGAGTGATAGAATCTCATCTTATGAAATCTTTGAAGCTTAATTGAAACTTGACACGTGGCAGTGGTGTAAGCTTCTTCTTGCTTTATGATTGGTTGTGATGATTACATGTAGATCACAACTTGTGGATACTTGCTTTTAACTCTTAACTCATCTTTCTTTACATTATTATATTATTAAATAATTGAAATATGTAAACAAATTGCACAGAAGCTGCAAGGAGCAATGAAGACCACACAAAACCCTGCCAATGGAACAAAAGTACAAAAATGAAAAACAAAAAGCTCAACCACAAAAATTTCCTCTTTTAATTTTAATTTAACATTAAAATTTGAGACAAACCCTAGAATATTTTCGTTTTGGGTAAAAATATTATATACATCTTTAGGAAAATAAAACAGATTTTGGGATATGATTTTGTCTTTCTTTTTTTTTTTAAGCTGTTAATGCCACATTTTTTTATAAATATATGTTTCAATAAATAAAAGAATAATTACACCGACATTCTCTGATGTTTTTTTCTTATTATATTTACCTTCCAATATTTTAAAAAATTTATACTAATACTCTCTTTGTTTTAAAAACATTATATTTATACTTTTTTTTATTACCCATTGTTATAATAAAAAAAAAATTAAAAAGTTAGATATAATTCAAGACATATTTTGAAAAATATCGTTGTAATTTACTTTCATTAATCTACCTATTCAATATTTATTTCCTAATGGTATTTTATTTTATTAAATTATTTATTCAATTTTTTTTCTCATACACTTTTTATTTATAAATTTAAATCATAATCACATATACTTTTATAAAAGGAGATTAACAAATCTCATTATTAGAAAATTTATTCAATTGAACATAATTGTTAAATGAAAAATATCATAATAATAAAAATCAAAATAAATATAATAATTTTTATTTACTCATGGTTCTATACATAATATAATAAGAAAAATAGAAAATAAAACAATAAACTATAGTATTTTTCAATCAAATAATAATTTGATAATTGATGTAAGAACACAAGAAATAAAGAAAACGTTAAAAACTGAAAATTATCTACTAGTAAAACCACGTTGCTTCGTTTAAATGTGTCAAAATTATACTATCATTATTTGCTTTACATAGAAAGAGAAATTAATTTTATGTTGTTGTTCTTTTTCTGAAATCATTAAAAAATAGTAAAATAAAAACAAGATAAATATCAAGAAAAAACAACTAATAGAGAAAAGAAGAAAATTATGAAAAATAAAAAGATTATATTTATTATTTTGTATTTTTTCTGAAAAAAACAAATTGCTTAACTACTTTTAAGGGTAGAAGTTATATGAACCAATTTACTTTTACCAATGTACTCTCCATCTTTTCTATCAACTAGTGGTAACTACACACTCTAATACTAGTTAAAATTTATGTAAAATCATAAAAGAGTTATTAAATAAATGATATTAAAAATTCTAATTTCTATTAGTAAATAAAAATCAACCAATCTAGAGATCTTAACAGAAGACTAAGTGGAAGAGATAGGTACACCCAACACAACACCTATCATAAACTTAGCCAGACAATCTTTCTGCATTATTTTAAATGCAAGTGGCGTATGTAACGTACATCAAACACTTGCCACACTTTTATGCTAAAATGAGAGAGAAGTGCAAGCTCAATCTTCCCATTTCCAACATGAATAGCACCAATGAACTTGCATGAGTCAGCACATTGGAAATTCTTACAAAACCACAAATTGCTGCTACTATGGAATCAAATTATCCTCACTGTCTACTTCAAGGCACACATGCAATCAAAGAGAGGGACCAGCAGCAAGCCTGAAATGAGGGCCAATCAAGGAAGGAAACATCTTAATAATGAAACTAAAATCACTTTCTCTTTTTCTAGTCATTCTTCATATTCAACATGTGGGTGTTTTACTAGATTCTCTTTTAGTACGAAACCACAAGTATTCTCCATTGGAGATAATATTGTTTGAATCAGGTAGGAACATTATAGACAACAACAACAACAACAACAACAACAAAGTCCTCTCACCCTTCCTCAAAGTATTTAGCAAAATTGCATACTTAGGACTCAAACTTGAAATAATTGGTTAAGTTGGAACAACTCTGTAGCATTTATTCATAAAACAATGCACTGGAATTAAGTATGGTTTTAGGAAAACTTTACTTAATCTCAAGTCAGAATACACACTTTTGAAAATGGTCAGATTTAAGGAACATCTCATCCATGAGCATCTCCAAAATTTCGGAAAAAAGATGAAGAGTGAGAACACAACCTCTATGCATTCAAAACCAAAAGCTGGCATTGTGACTTAATGTGAGTGATTTCTGTCTTTAGTTTCCTTGTTTGAATAGTGTCCATCAGCAATAATGTGTCTTTCACTAGATTCTCTGACTTTTCCCGCAGCATTGGAGCTTTGCACAAACTCTTCCATTCCATCTTCACTTATGCTTTGGAAATTCAAAACTGTTGCATTGGATGTTCTTGACGAACCTTTTCCATCATCCTCAATACTGTAGAACGGATCAAAAGATGGCTGCCCCTCATCTGCAAACTTCATGTCATCATCAAAATTATCAAAATCAAAATTTCTCAGAAGTTCAGGAATAGGTACACGACCATCTTCTGCATGCATAGATCCCATTTCAAAGTCAAGTTTCTCCTTTGGGGTCAAAATTCCATCTACATTGCTTGGAGTCATTGATCCGACCATCATATGTTCATCCTCCGCAACAAATGCTCGGAAGTTATTCTTCGAACGGGGAATGCTTGAACAAAGTGTTTCATTAATATTTTTGCATGATCCCCTGTTGAATGGGTTCCCCTTTTTATCATATTGATATCGGAAGTTCTCATAAGTTGTCTGCATGACAAAAAAGCAAAACAGAATATGTAATCTTCAACCATTAAACAACAACCTAAATCTTAACAAGATAATGGATTAAAATAATGGTCATGTGGACAAGTCACTAAAGAACATTGCTGACAAGTATCCCACTTATTAAACTCAATTCTAATCAGCAGAGCAACTTTCGAATAGAAAGAAAAAGAAGCTATCTTGAACATGAAAATGTAAGTAAAATAATTTGAGAACGTATAATATTCATTCACTCAAAGAAAATGAAGTTATATTAAAATGGTCAAACTTAACACAATGAAAGAATTTAAAACCTGAGGAGAACCTCGAGCCTGATCGAGCGAGCCCAAATAAAAAATATTATGAGGCCAAAATTTATTTACCTACCTTTTCTGGAACGGAGAAAACAATAATAAGTTCATCAAGTTGCCAAGAAATAATGTCTTGAATTGCTTTCTACTTCCCAATAATGTCAGTTCCAAAGTTCATTAAAAGAGCTACACAATATATTATTTAATTCTGTTAAGCCAACCTTAGACATCTCCAAAAACAGTTGCTGACAAGAATTGTTTAGGGATAAAAATGAATATTTTATTGTGAGTATCACATCTGAATTGTTTAAAAGTGGAAAAAGTTGCTTAAAATTGGAAAGAAATTGTTTATATAAACAACTGATCAAATTTTAAGCAATTAATCTGAGAGACCTATAATAAAATATTCAATTTTATTCTTAAGCAACTCTTGTTAAGAACTTCCTTTGGAGATGCCCTTACTCATGCAAATTATTAGTATGATTTATTCAACTGCCATAAATGTCAACTAAATACCCAATGTTATCAATGATACTTCATCATCCATAATTAGCACAAAGCCTAAAAAGTAAATGTTTCTATGAATAGTGTAAAAGTAAAGACAAACTTGATAAATATAGTAGCTTTTTAGCTAACTGTATATTTCAAACTCAGCTACAACATATCTAGTGTTTTGCTAGTCTCACATTTTCTTCATTTGCCTTCCTCGTAGAAAATGAAAGCACAAATCTTTTATTATTTTAATTATTATATTTATTCAATCCTCTTCTTATTCATACCCAGTAAACTTCTAGTTTATCGCATCAAAATCAGTGTGCCACTTGCATATCAATTAAAATTCCTAAACTTCTAGTTTTTCTGTACCATATAGTTTTCCTTCAATAAATCTTACTAAATTATATGTTCATATCAGTGTTACTCATTTGATGCCAAAAATTTTTTGCAACCATTGAATAAGAAATGGTTAAGAACTTTTTCACATTTTGGGAAGTAAAATAGTCACCTGGTTTGTACAAATGAGATAGAAATGGAAAGCTGTGAGGCCACCAACAAACCAAACAGCTATAAAGCAGTATATTATCAGAAAATCTGATAAATAATCATGTGTTATTGTCCTCCAAATATTATTCTGGGCAAGACTGATACAAGTGAACACGAGAACGTATAGGCACAAAATGGTTGATGTCAAAATGAACATGAAGAAGTATCGATAGTTACGCTGCAATGATGTCAGAGAACTGTTAGTGCAAGAATTGGAATAAAGTAGACAGTTGGGTAGTATAAAAATAACAAAAAATTCATGTTGTTGTTTCTAACAAATGAAGCCAAGAGTGGTCTCCAAAAAGAAGATGCATTTAAACTGAGCATAATTCTTTTTCCCCTTCTTCTGCTTAAAGGAAGGGAGGAGATTACATGCAATAAGATCTATCTACGGGTGATAATCATATACTCTACCAGCTAAAATGTCAAGATTATATAAAAATATTGTTGCTTGACTGTATAGATAATTGAATGAAAACACTGAGCATATTCTCTAAGTAGCAGATCCTTATTCTCTTGCTTATTTCTTTATGCATCCCAGTGGTTTATTAGGAAAATGATATCATTGTCTATAAAATAATTAAACATTATATTTAGAGTTCTCTTAGATTTTCCTTCACCGCCTTGACAATTTCTACATTTGTATTACTATGGGAATTTGATTACTCAGCTTATGAGGAAACATGATTGACCAAGAAAACTCCATCCAGATAGAAGTAGATTATGCAAGAAATCGGTCGTTTGCAAGGAAAAGATTTTAACTTCCCGGAAACATCAGACAATAAATAGAAATTAAATTATCTTCGACTAGAGGAGCAAGGACGTCTCAATACTAAGTAATGTGTCTAATGTAGAACTTACACGATCCCAAATCAGGAGAAAATTGCAAAACTAGTTTTCAGGCATTATATAAACTGATACTTGAGAAATATGTCACTCAATTTAAAGGTGATCATCAATTTAATCAGGCAAAATTTCAAAAAGAAATAGCACACTAAGCCTATAGGTATTCATATTTATCTTTCACAATAAGAAAATAACATAATCCAAATGTTCATTTGGAGTGTGAATTGATTAGATCTATTTTTTGGAGTCTTTAGAAAAATATTAACATGCAGAAAATAGATGTATGGAATCAACTAATAACTCTGTCATGGCATTTTTAGACACATACTAACATCACCCACTTGTATTACAGTAATAAAAAAGATCAGAATATCAACATTACTTTCAAGTTTATTCTATAGTGTTTTAGCTGATTTCCAAGTAGCATAAAAGAATTGTTGGATAAAAATATGCCATTGTCCTATTGAAAGTTTGAAAAAAAAGTGGACTTACTATTCCGATGCACTGACCAACCCAGGGACAATGATGATCAAATCTCTCAACACAATTGTTGCATATAGAACAATGAGAAGTACGAGGAGGGCGATAAAGCAAGCACGTATCACAGAACTTTACTTTCACTATGTGATCATTAACAACAACATCTTTAGTTCGAGGTAGTTTCAAATGAGGAGTTGTACCATTAATCCACTCCATGGAAGGAGTAGGCATATCATATGTATCGTCAAGTTCAGGAGGTCTTGAATTTCTAGGGACAATTCCAGGATCTCTTCCAGAAGTCAAAAGGAGGAACATTAAATCCTGCATGAGTTGTCATATCAACTTTTATTTTCAAAACAACAAAGTTATGTTGATCACCACCAGCTATGATGAGAAAACAAAATGGAAGGGAACAAAAATCAACCAATCTCTAGTACTATAATAATATATTGTTTTCTACAACTTACTGCCACATTAATATTAGTTAGAATGTTCTTTTCTCTCTTATTTGCTTTCTATTTTTTTCTTCTCAAAATGGGTGATCAAGAGTTTGACCATTGTTTCCCCTACTCTCAATAATCAAATTTTAATTGTTCTATCAAAGGGAACTTGCATGTGAAGGCAAGTTAAAGATATGAAATATTATTGGGCTTTTACCAAATGGCTTCAATTTTCAGGAAACTTGGTCTTTCATCATTGACAAAAGTATTTGAATTTAGGAGAAAAAGCTAAATATTTTGTCAAAAAACTAGACATATATTCCTCTTCCCTTGTATAAAGCAGACACGAGCTACTTAGATGACATTAAAGTTCAGAAAATAAGTTGATTCGTAAATTTTGCAACTTTTTTTTTCACAAAATATTATAATTTCTTATCTCCTATTACCTTGCCATATCTTACTTACGTATTAGATAACACCATTTATAACTATGCATATTGAAAAATTGGCTTACAACTTTGTAACTGAAAAAAGATGATGCACAATGATAGAAAGATGCATAAGATGACGACTGGTTTATGTAAACTCTCCAAGAACTAGTTGTCAGAGATATTTACCAAAACAGTGAGAATTGAACCCACTACCAATACCGGAAACCAAAATTCGTGAGCAAGGTCACCAGTCTTCTTGATTTTAAGATATGCTTTTACACAAAATGTAATTGCAGGTGCAGCAATTAGGAATATTGTAAGAAACAGGGAAGCTACATCTGGACCAAATACCATCCTCCCACCACAAAAAAACTTCTGCAAAAAGTCAAACAAAGAAAAATTAGTAAAATATAACATGCTAGGTATTGCTTCATGATATGTGATCATACTTGAATAATATTCTTATTATTTTCAACCCAAAGCAATAAGTGTTCTCATTGAAGTGGCACTGGTACCTCAATAGCTTCAAACATCATGGATTAACATTCACATCAAAACGATTGGCCAAGATTAATCACATATTTGGAAGAATTTGTTTTTCTCCCGAAAAATTACCAAACCAGTGAAAGGGCTAATATTCTGTAGCTAAACAAATATTGAATCATAAACGAGCATGCAAGCTATTTACCATAAAAAAATTTCAACAAATTATAATTGAAGCATAGTACAACAAATTCAAATAAAGAATGAATTGTGACCAAACACAATCTAATCATTATCAAAATCTAATTGCCAGACATGAAAGCCAATTCAAAACAAAAGTTGAGATAGAATCTCACGTTGCCTCCCCTCCAAACTTGATAGACCCTCTTCGGTGTGTGATCCACATTGCTAGAAGAAGAACCCCCCATTTGCGGATATCTATTCCCTGACATGGTAGCACCACCTCGTGTGTCACCAAAACTGCACTCTCGCCTTCACAAAACCCATAAACCCGATCCAAGTACCGACCCAGAAACAAAATCCTCTTAAAAATCCCAAATTTCCTTCTGGGGTTCTTCCAATTAGCCTCCTGCAGTGGAAAGGGACAATGCAGATAGAAGAGAGAAGGAGAGAAGAGAGAAAAGAGAAAAAACAGAGAGAGAGAGGAAGAAAGAAAGAAATTTGGATTTGGTGTTGGTGAATCGCAACAACGGAGAATCAAGCTGTGAAACCAAATCCAAACGGAAAAAATTGTGGGGCTGAAGGGATCATTGGAAGATGAGAATCCCCATGACCCTTTCTAATCAATCCCTCCCTCAAAGTTTTGAAGCTTTTCTTATTATTATTTTCTTCTCTTTCTCTCTCCCTCTTCTTCTTCTGAGTTTTTTTGTTTTCTCTTCTCTCTCTCTTTCCCCCTTTCTCCTTCGAATCCAAAGTGCTGACAGCTTCGGGGGTTGTTCTCGGACGGATTTCCCAATTCGTCGCGGCTTTTACGCGCGTAATGTTTCTTTTTCCGTTACAATACAACACTACAACCTTTCCTTTTCTGTTACACAACACAACATCAGCATTGTTAAATGGTGTCATACCAATGTGTGTATGTTTTTTTGGTCAAAATACATCACCAATCATGAAAATTACCCATTATTTAACATTCATAAATATATATATTTATAGTTTATTATTAAATCTTCCTAACAACTTTCGTCTGAAAGTAGCTTTTTCAGGAGAAAAATACATTGTAACATAAAATGAAATAAAACAAGTTTCATTTGTAAGCATTATTACATTGTTGGGTTAATAAAAAATTCTACTTTCATCATTTGTTTTATTTTCTGATATTCGTGACAAAATTTATAAACTTCTTATATATCAACTAAACTATGTTTAACGTATTATTTTTCTTAAATATAAATAAGTTATATGAAATGAAAAATGGTATCAACTAAACTATGTTTAACGTAAAAAAAATTACAACATGAAACAATTCACATGTAACATAAATCTGTCAAGGAGTAAACACATAAATCTTGCAAAACATTTTCAATCTCTCAACGACAAGATAAGATGTAACGAGTACGGGAATGTTTACAAAGATCAGAAAGAACGAATAGAAGAATCTGAATTTTTCCATACATTGCTGTTGGAGTTGGATATTTAACTAAATCTAAAATCCGATAATTAAACCATATTTTTTTAGTCATAAATTGAACTATATTAGAACCATTTTGTTAATTTTTTATTATATATATATATATATATATATATATATATATATTTCATATATTTATGAGTGTTACATATTTCAAAGTCAAAAAATAAAATAGTTTATATATACTTTAATCTACTAATACATCTTTTAATAAAAAAATTAAAACTTTAAAATGAATAATACTTCAATAATGACAATTAATCTTAATGATGTCATACGATATAATATTATAATACTTCATAATTATATTAATTTAATTTTTAAATACAATTAGTAATAAGCATTATTGTATTATTATGTATGTTGAAGTTAAAAGTTATACGTTTATATGCTAAATAGTTTTTTTTAATTTTATATTATTATTTTTATTTTTAATATTGATTTAGTTTCACTTTTTTTAAATAATTGTAATTTTTTTTAATATTATTACATTATTCAATAAAAAAAATATTGTATTAATATAATCATATTTATCAACGTGATTTTATTCATCCGCGATCTTATCAATAACATAAATATGTTTGACATATTTATATTTATATCAACGTGATATATTATTATTATGGGTTAATTATATCAATACAAATATGATATATATATATATATATATATATATATATATATATATCAACATTATATATTAGAAAGTATGATAAAATCAAAATATGATGTACTTTTTTATTAAATAACTAAACGATATTAATAAAAGAAAAAAATTAACCTATTTTAAAATTTTTAAGAAAGATAAAATCAAATTTACACTAAATTTGATAATAAAAAATTAACAAAATAGAAATAAAACCTTGACAAGTGACATATAAATAGAGTCTTTTTTTTAATATTATAAAGTTGCAATTATAAGATTTTTTTTTACATATAATATAGTACATTTAAAAAAAATGTTTACATTGTTTTTTTTTTTTGAAAAAGAGTTTGTATCTTCTATTTGTTTTCATGTATCTAATATTATTATTGCATGTATTACAGAAAGGCAAAGATTTATATGTGGTAATGAAAAATAAATGTTTAAAAAAGAAGGTAGGATTGTTCTGTCCATTTGTCTTTAAAATAATGTACAATTAACCAATCCTAATTAATTACACATCAAGTGATCTATTACTAAAAACTAGTTGTATTTATTAACCAAAATTATAAAAAAAAAAAGTTGTATTTGTATGAAACAATAACACTAGTAATCATTATTCAACATACAATTATCAATTAGTATAAACGTGAAAATTAAACAGGCATATAAATTTACTCTAATACTACTTTCGTAATTAAATAATTGAAATAATAAATAATATCAATGAACAATAAAAAAGATTTTTTAATATAAAATATATGACAATATATATCTCATATTCATATATTTTATATTTAGGATTTGTTTTATAAAAAATATCTCATATTTCATATTTTATATTTAAGATCGATTTTGTAGAATGTGTTAATCTTAAATATGTCATGATAATAATATTAAAATTAAATATTATATTAATAATAATATTAAAGTCAAATATTATATTTAAACAGATATTATTCGTTTTAAAATTATAATTTATCATAATTTTATGATTTAAAAATATATATATATATATATATATATATATATATATATATATACTTATATAAAATTTATGAGTATATAAAAAGAAAAAAAATCTATAAGTAGAAAAGACTAAAATACATTTATATAAAAATTATAGAAGAATTAAGAAATAAAGTATTTTAATAACTTAAAAACATAAAATCTCCCACTCAGCGGAACAATAAACTTTATAGGAGTTTATAAACCACTTGTTGAATTATTCCTTGGAAAGTAAAAAGAAACAGTTTAAAATATGATTAATTACTTATTCCTGTATGTTTGATATATTTGTTGATTTATAATGATTTTATTGCGATGGTGAAATGAAGAAAAGTGAGTGGTTGACTTGTTTTGAAGAAAGAGAAAAATTGTGCTTTGAATACATATAGATATGAAGACATTGACAATGGTGGGTGGCATGAAAGTGGAGATAAGGAGTGTGCATCGAATATGCTTTATAAATCAAATCACACACAACATAGTCGACTCACAGATACCATGCCAAAGGAATGCTTGAGAGAGAGAGAGAGAGAGATGGTGCTTTGAAGAAAGTGGCATTTGGCACAACGTGGCATCCAATACCAAACCAACTCAAACTTGTTTGGTTAAGTTTCAACTTCAATCTACAATTCACAAATCTCAATATAATAATGATAATGGTGTTTCTTTTTTAGTCTTTTTGGTGTATGCTATATTATCATAAAAAAAGAAAGTGGCAGTTGGGGTCAAATGAAAATATAATGGCTGTTGTTCCTAGGAATTGATGACATGCATGCTGGCATATTTTAATATATAATTGAAGGGTACGTTAAGATTAATAGAATCACAAGAAAAATAAAAAATTGTAAAAGACTAAAGAAATCACGAGATAATGAAAAGCGTGAAATAAAGTGAGAATTTTAATCTTCCAAACTTATAATCTTTAAAAAGTGAGATCATCCCTAAATAACATAGAACTAAAAAATATGTACAAATAAAACCTATGTTAGATTCTTATATTTGTTATAATAATATTTAAGATAAATTTTTATGTTTAAAGTGTTATTTATTGTAGAACTCTAATCTATCAGGTTTTATCTTTAAAATATAGTTTCATAGATTATCTTTACAAGATTTATTAATATATTAAAATATTATAAAAATAAATTTCAATTACCTATTCTCAAAATTTAATAACAAATATTAACGATCACAATCATCTTGTTAATAAAACTTCATTTACAAATAAGTAGTATCTTCCTGTCAACATTTTATTCTATTACCTTTCATTATATAAAAAATTCTTAGAACTATAAAATAACTTGTTTTTTTTTTCAATTGTTTTTTCTTTTCTATACCATTTTACAACAATTAGTTATTTTTAAAAGAAAAATAAGACTGCATTTGAATCTAATTCAATTAGGTATTAAAATTTGAAATATACTATTATAACTATTTAATATATTTTGTATATTTACATTAATAATTTTATTCGATAAAAATACTAAATATTATAATTAAATTCGTTTAAATTAAAAAAATCAATGGAATGAAATACAAATAATCAAGATATCTTTAATTTTAGATTTGAAAGGAATGCTTATATAGGGCATAAATATCATTAATTGCGGACAGTTAGTAACTTATTATATTAAACTGTGTTTTTTATGTAAAAAAATAAATATAATTTTAATTACTTAAAAGCTTTCCACAAACTTTCCATTTTTTAGTACAATTTAAAAGGTAAAAGTGGAATTGGTAGATAAATAAAAGTTGTTAAAAAAAATGTTATATATGTTGTAGTTTTATGAAACACAATGGTATCCTAAGCACATAATTTGTGTTAGAAAAGGTAGATGGGAGCATAGAGATATAACATCTTGATTTTCTGAGTGGACGTGTGAAACAAAAAACTTTTGAGAGACTTCAAATTGTAAGGAAACATTGGATCCTCATGGGACTTTTTTCCTTTCCTTTTATTTTATGTGTATTTGGATGACACTAGTTGTCTTTTTTTTCTCATGAATAGTCAACTTGTATCTTATTTTAATAAATATCTTGTTTACATCATTATTTTTTTTTAGCTTCTAACATGGTTTATTTATAACATTTTGACTAGTTTCAATCAAATTCATTTGTTATCCAATATAACATGATTTTGATCATGTTAG